GCCGGGGCGGAGGGCTCCCGGGGGTGTGCGAGGCTGGGAGCCGGCTGTGCAATTATGTGATTCCTCTGATTGCTCCGGTCAGCGCCAAGCTGAGTTGATTTAAGCTGGTAACAAAAGAATGACGGTGTTGTGTGAAAGAAGACTTTTCACAATGATAAAGAAAGGAAAAAAAAAAACAAAAAATCAAGGCCATCGGCTGTTTGCAAAAGGCACGGGCCGCCCCGTATCGCGCGCGACACGCCAGCAACATAAAAAGTTCAAATAACAAAATTTAAGCAATCATCAAATAAAGCTAAAGCAGAGCGGCAGATCAGAAGGGGAGCACCGGGCGGGGGGAGCAGAAAGCAGAGCGGCAGATCAGAAGGGGAACAGAAAGCAAAGCGGCGTATCAGAAGCGGGGCACCAGACGGTGAAGCAGAAAGCAGAAAGGCAGATCCAGAAGGGAAGCACCAGACAGGGGGAGCAGAGAGCAGAACAGAAGGGGAGCACTGGGCGGGGGGAGCAGAAAGCAGAGCGGCACAGCAGGCAGGGCGAGGAGATCGGAGTGGCACTGGCGAGCAGCGTGGTGCATAGGCAGCAGAAAGCCGGGGCTTGGGGGGTCTTAGCCCCTGCAAACTCATTTTGCGGCACCGCTCGGCGTGCAGCCAGGCCAGCGCCCCAGGCGCGCTCAGCTCCACCGGCTGAGGAAGAAGAGGCTAACCGCGCGTGCGCCGCACTGCACAGCGCACGATGGGGGTTGTCGTGCTCATGCTGATGCCTGCACTCAACCCCTGCCCCCAATAATATTTTCTCTCCCCGTCTATGGTGTGGGGCTGCTTGGTGGCATGCCTGCCAAAAAGGTTGCCCCCCACCTCGATCTACTCATTCCAACCCTCGGCTAGGATGGTCGTGACAGAGCTGAGCTGCCTTGGACAGGGGGCTGGACTGGATGGCCTCTGGATGGCCCTGACGACCCTCTGCTTTTCTGTGATCCTAGAAAATGCTTGATGGATGGGAGCAAACCCAACCTCACTGCTCCTTTGCATTTTTCCCATGCTGCTGCATACGCCTCTGCGTTTTCCCATACGTGTTAAAGACAGGAAGTGGAGGGGCCGTGAGTCAAAAGCATGTTGGAGACATGGGTAAAGTCTAAGCTAAGAGCTGGGTTCATCATCAGGGCTGGCATTAGAGCAGTGCAAAGCACCCCGACTTGCCCTTGTAGCCTTGACAATGACTAGTAGCTGTCAAATCCAGGACCACGGTGGGTATGGTTGTCTAACAAGACCGGGGCCTGATAGCAAACTTTGCCCCTGGTCCCCAAAAGGGAAGCCCTGACCCTGTTCCTCATTGCACCTTATTCACTGTGCACAGGCCCCAGGGTTGGGGCGGGGGAGAGAGGCCAAGGCAGCTTTAAACCACCTCTGCTGATCCATTATTTTGGGATCAGTGAGGGACTGTCAAGGTAAAGCACCCTGCAGCACTGTCTTCCCTGGCACCTGGCTGCCAGGAATAGCCTGGGCCCTGCAGCTCTCCCCAGCTGCAATCTCTTACGAATGCCCCACCATGTGCTGCCTGATGCCCGAAGGGAGGAGGGAAGTTGACACCCAGCTTGTTTCACACTACGGGGAGATTTTCCTTCCACCAGCCAACTTCCCTAATGACAAAGTAGAGCCGCTACTTGGCCCCTTTGCACCAGCACCAGGCGGGGGAATTGGCATAAGCAGAAGCTGGGTCCTATATGACTTGCCCCAGGTCAGAGAGCAAACTAGAGTTGGATTAAGCCAGAGTTTTTGTTTAGACCACACCTTTTCCCCTGTAGAGAGGGCTGTGCTAAATAGACCCCCGAACCTTAATGTTATCAAGACACACCATCTCCTCCAGCCTCTTCCTCTTGGGTACAAAGAGCAGCTGCTGCGGGTTTGTGCTCTGACTCGGGTCCCCAGGCTCACACGTGTAACTTCAGCTTTGCCCTCCCCATGATGAAAACCCTTGCAACGTGTTTCAATGAGCCATTTAAAAACCTTAGTCATGAATGATTCAAATCTCTCGTATTGTCACGGCTTGGCAGGCTCCTAGCATGACAGACCTAGATTGCTTGCAAAGGAAAAGGCAGAGCCTATCACAGCTTAGCCTTTAAACAGCTTTTGCAAGCAGACTGTGTAGGGAATGTATTTTTTTTTCCCTGCTGAGAGCTATTCATTTTCTGTTGTCCTCTCCCAAGTAGCCATCGAGGTAGCTCTGGAGTTGGGGATTATAATTACTTTGGACTAGCTCCAAAGTCTTATACATCAATCTATCACTGCTGCTGTGGCTGCTACTACGCTTTCATGCAGCTGCGGCATTTGTACCTCTGTCTGATGTAACACTTTCTTCCTCTGCCACCAGCAGCTTCCCAAGCTTCAGCTCCTGTCCTGAGATTTAAAAAAAAAAAAAAAAGCCTGGCCCATTTTGGCTTCCCTGCTATGTATTTTAAGCAGACATTGAAAGTCATGCACTTCTGTTGCCGCAAGTCTTGAGAGAATCAGAATTTTCCAGACTGGTTGCCAAAAGAGCCTGGGATCCTGAGCTGAGGACAAGCTGCCTTTGGTGCACATCAGCTGTAAGTCTGCAATGATCTTCGAATTCCTTCAATCCAGAGGGAAGTCCAGGCATTGTGCACATCCCCCGCATAAATAGAGCAATGCTTGAGGTTACCATCATTTATACTGGCTGTCGAGAGTCTGCAGGATAACAGTAACTTGGCCACCTCATTCCTTTAGCCATGCCTCTGCCCTAGGATGCGGATCCAAGCATGCTGCTGTAAAGGGGAATCCTCCAGGGACCATGAGACACAGCTGTCTGTACTGATGGAGTGGGCAAGCCAGCGGCAGGAGCCCTGGAAATCAGGCCTCATATTTTTTACTGTCTCCTGCATACAATAATGCCTGTATAACTTGGTCAGCCCCAGTCTGTCAAACAAGTCACTGTTTTTCCTTTGATGCTGTGATCTGCCAGGGTGGGTTGTATCAAGACTGAGAAAATATACTGCCTTCATTACTCATTCACTTATTATTGATTGGACCCCAGCAGTCTTATGAGCTGCATAAGCGTGGAAGAAAATGTTCTCCCAAGGATGGAAATCACAGCAGCCTTGCCCTCAGAAACACTGGCAAAGCTCTTGCTGGCATTGGTGGGATTTACAGACTGGGCTAGTGGACAAAAGTGCTGGTCTGGGACTCGGGATA